TCATCCAACAGGGCTGCTTCCTCAAAGCTCTTTTCTGCCTCTGAGTCTGTCATCCAACCGCTTTTTTCTTTCTTCTGTGGGGAAATCTTTGAATAAATGCTACGAAATTCCCCCCAAAAATCACAGAGGACTACAGACTCACTTTGAGTTTGACTCACAGGAAGTACTTACAGGGCACAAATTATAAAAAAAACGGTTCAGTTTGTGGTGGTTCAGAAGCTTTCGGTGGACAAATGGGGCAGTTTCTTATCCACAGCTTAAAAATTATTTGAAAGACACAACCTTGAGAGGTTTTTTTTTCTGCAGTGCAGCAAACAATCTGCTCCTTTCAGGATGTTTGATAAAAATATCTTCAGACCTTTGGCGGCTCTGAGGCCAAACCACGGAAACCTTGGACTCTGATTGAAAAACACCTGAAATCAAAACTTCTTTGAATTTTCATTAACGGGCAGAAAATCCTCTTTTCTCAATGCTGGGAGCTTTAAATGAGAACGACGCAGCAGCCTCTGGAGAAATCGTCTTTTTTAGCTTTTTTCTGTTAAAACAAATCTGATTGATGACATTTTTACACGTTTCAATCATCTGTTTCCAGGCTGCAAGGGGAAAAGACCTCATTGGAGCTTTCCAAAGCTCAAAAAACAGCAGAAAAATTCCCAGAAATTAAGAAAAGTTAAAGAGCAGCAGTTCAGGCATCATCATGGGAAATGTGAGATGGCCGGCAGGGAAAACTAAACGTAAGGATTGAACAAAAACAAAAAATACTAATTATAAATCCACAAAAAATAAACAAATAAACAAAAAACAAATGTAAAGAATGAACAAAAACAAAAATACTAATTAGAAATCCACCAAAAAATAAATAAATAAACAAATAATAAATGTAAGGAATTAAAAAAAAACAAAAATACTCATTTGAAATCCACCAAAAAATAAACAAATAAACAAAAACTGAATGTAGCTAATTAGAAATCCACCAAAAAATGAATAAATAAACAAAGACTAAACATAAAGAATGAACAAAAACTAAAATACTCATTAGAAATCAACCCAAAAAATAAATAAACAGAAACTAAACAAAAAGAATGAACTGGAACAGGAACAGCTCCTGGCGGGTGTGATAATGGGTCTGATGGACACAGAGAAACTTCAGAAACAGGCGTGCGGCAGCTTCACAGGAGGGTTTCATGTCTCCAGAGACTCTGCCCGGCAGAAGAGCAGCACAGATGTGATTCATTCATCATTTATCTCCATCGGCAGCCCCCCCCCCCCCCCTTTGTAGGGGCCCCCCGGGACCCCCGTCCCACCCACCTCCTCTTTCCTCTGACACCGGCAGATCCAGCTCTGGAGGCCGGTTCTGGATGCCCACCAGGTTTTCTGAGCTGAAACGAGGCCACGTTCAGCTTCAAAGTGCTCTGCTCTGGTTCAGGGACGCCACTCACATCTGGATTCTCAGCCCCCCGGGACCAGGACACCTTTTTACACCCCTCAAAAAGGGCTGACCAAGAAAGCTTTATTTCTTTTTTGGGGGGTTTGGTTCAGCTTCAGGCTGCAGTTTAAGATCAGAGCAGGTCATGTACCCAAAACCACCCAGAAACAGATCAATAAAGACAAAACGCTCAGCACAAAATCTCTCCTAGAATTCTAAAATCCAAAAGAAACTTTAAAAAACTTTTAAAAGAGCAAAACAGACTTCAGTTTGACGGCTTCTGGCTCGTTATTGACTCAGATGGAGAACATGGTTTGAGTCCATGTTTAAGAACACCAAAACAGGCCAACTTTAGACCCTTTTTTTCTCTTTAAACTGGAAACACTGGGCAAAGGTTTGCATAAACCTATCCCACCTCCAGCAGAGCTGCTGTTCAAGCTGCTTTGCGGCTACAGATGTGAGCAGCTGTGGGGCTCCGCGTGGCCCCCGGCTGGGGCCCCTAAAACCTGCTGTCCACTACAGACTGGTCAGCTGAACCCAAGACCACAGAGGCAGAACAAACTCCCACAAATCTGCTTTTCTATTTGCTGCTTTCTGGTGATTCCTCACTCTGTAACTCTTATTTGCTTAGTTTTCGCCATCTGAATCTATTCCATCTCTTTCTGTCTTTACTGAAATGTCTTTTTTAATGCCTAAATCAAGTATAAGTCTGCACGTGCTCTCACATCTGGACCTCTGCTGGTCCACGTCCCACTCATAAAACATGCAGAATCACTGTTTAAAATTTTAAATTCTCCATTTTCTGCGAGTACAATGTCAGGG